GTAAATTTGTTAAAGAAGATGCCCTGTAACGTCAAATAACTAATTAAGATACTACTGGTCAGTTTTTGTACAAATTTCATATGAACAATAATTATGAGAGTGCAGTACCAAGTTTGAAGAATGGAGGAAAAACATCGCTTTCTCTTAGAACTTATTGTCAAACTGACACTGATTTTTAATTCTTCTTAAGAAAATACTAAACATTATTCATTACAAAATTGAACGATCTGTCTTAAATTAACTATATCAAAATAGAAAATGGCACCTACAACGTAGAAAAAATTAAAGATAGTAAGTGCAACTTATTCTATTCTTAAAAACACATTGGAATATTTAAAATGTGGGTGTAATAAGTTTTTCCGACTTACACGCATATGACATGAAAAGAAACGCCTAAGCTGAAAACTGACACATATGCAGCGCGGTCGTTTCTCAATTTGTACGCGATAAGCATAGATAGAAATGGACGCTAGTCCATGTTAATGTTTTGATGACCGAATAATTCTAATAGTAAGAATATAACCGATAACGGTGACGGAAATTAAGGTATTAGCCATAAAGAAAAATCAATTCCTACTGGGATTTGCCTGAAAATTTATTCACATAAATTTTAATAAACGTATTTGTACAGGCAAAGCGTATCACGCCTCACAGTTAACGTTCTTTAATACCCTTCCATTTAAAATGTAGATATACAATATCTTAATGACAATATCATTGTAAATTGAAAATAAAAACCATTTTAGAATACAAGGCACGACTAGAATTTATTACCCATTTAAGTTATTAAGCTTATTTTGCATACATTTGAAATTTAAATCAGTAGCACCTTCGAAAAAAATCTAGGTTTAGTGACAATGAAAATGTTTGTAGTATTAACTCATAGCAGCAAACTTTGAAGGATAAATTAAGTATATTTTATAAAATAAGTTTACATGTATGTACTTCTGTACAACGTTTATCTTTATTTTTAATATACAAGGTGATTCAGAACTTATCCAAAAAAAATTCATTCTGGATGTACAGGAGACCCTTACAAATACAATTTTGTAAAGAAAAAATCAAAAAGGGCAGTTTGAAAATGATTTAAAAATATACTTCTGCACGGCACTGGAAACTGGTCCACTGTAAAACCTGACTTCGCACATTGCGACCGGCATGGCGGTGTGATAAAAAACGGACAAAAACTTTCGCAAGGAAAGAAATAAATAGAATTTTATAGCACCTATTTTATATCGGCAAATTCAACTGCATTTGCCTTTATTAATTAATTTGTGTTTTTAAATAATAAAATCATTTGACATACCCGATGTTACAACAACAATTATTCAAAATAACTATTGTAAACACCACAGATAACAGGTAAACACTATCGCAACGACGATTGCAAAATCGGATTTCAGTATTAGGAGTCGCTGAGGCCACGTGGCTCTCCACGCGTTTTGCGAATGACGCTAGAAACTTCAGCTGTCCAGCTATGTAGTGGTTGAATGTACTATAACTTCAATAATTTTTTCCTCGTAAACTATAAGGATTTTACAAAAAATTTTTTTACGATATTGACTCCATTTCTCATGCCCCATCTATTCCCAAAATTTTTTGAATAAGTTGTGAATCACCCTGTATGTTTCTGATTTTGGCTACTAAAGTTTGTGTCGCTTTTTCATATCATAAATGATATATCATAAATTAGATGCGAGTATAAATATTTGTTAAAATCAAGTTCTATATTTTTAATTACGTATTTTTCAAGTGATCCAAATAATTCTCCCATCACACTAGTTTGAAAAGGCTAAGACTAGACTACTAGACTAGTTAGACTAGCTAGACAGACTAAGAAATTAAAAAAAAAACGTTAATTTCGTACAATTTCAAATTTACTAAGTGTCTGAATCGTAACAAATTGCTTTAATCTATAAATTTCTGCTTTCAGTATCATTAGATATAGTTAGGGCTTCTACACAGGGTGTCCAGAAAATAGTGAACAATCTCTTAAATTTGCGTAGAATTAGATTTATTTTCTTCAAGCTCACCCTGTAGAGATATTAGCTGTTCAAGTCGATAGATGAAAATCGATTTTTCGGCATAATTTTGTAATGTATTAAATTTACAGAGTTACTTTGGGGTTAAGGAGACAGATCTCCTTTCGCAGTGTTAACCTCATATATACTTCCTTTTTAACCACCTTTTAAGATTCTGATGCTTTTTCAAGTGAAAATTGCTCGGAAAAAGGTGCAATTGTTTTATCGAGTAGTCAACTGTTTTCAAGGAGAAAATACTGAACGAAATTAAGTATAGTCTTTCCGATCTCAATTGAGGAACCAAGAGGTCGGCAGTATGTACCAGGTTCAGTCACTGACGCAGCAACTCATCATTGAAATATTTGTAAAGCTTGTTCCCATATTTATTTAGCCATACCCATGTACAGGTCTGGTCAAACTAAACGTGGAGGTGGTAGAAATATAAACGCCCTTTTGAAGAATGAGCGTGCGGGCAAAGGGCGTATAACAACCGCACTGGGCGACTGGGCAATAAATCTCAATTGTTGACAAGTGGATGACAAATTGCCTAGCAGTGCAGTGCAGCAATGCGGAATTTGGTGTGATTCAGGTAATTTTAATTTATTATAGGCACCTTCTATTATTAATAATTTATATTACAATTACAATAGGGAGAAATAAGAGGGATATTTTGTTTACTAATATTATTACAACATGGCATTTTGGAGGTCTTTTGAAACGGAACAAAACAAAATTTACCATCAATATAATAAAATTGTTTGAGGACATAAATAATTAAAATATATCATTGGCGAAATGAACATATAATGGAAATTTTCTACACTTATATACAAATTATTATATTTTTTTACCTTTAGCAGAAAGCTTTTTTAGGGACGCCTATGAAACTGATTAAACTTTATTGCTAGGAGTTTTTATACATGTTCAACTGACTTCGGAAAGACTATACTATCAATGAGATGGGTATTAAAAAAAACTTTATGAAATGCATATAGTCCTTTGTCTAGAACAGGGTGAATGTACAATAAAACACATTTTATAATAATACATTTTTTTAGAAGATTTATTAAATTTGACAGCGGAAAACGTACCCACACAGTGATTCCACGCCAATCTTGATTACGTCCAGGATCAGGAAATAAAGCTGTGTCATGGCCTACTAGAGTAATAAAAAGTAAAATTTGCAAAATTAAAGGAGTTTTGCTAGAAAGTGCCAATATTTCCGAAAATATCGATTTTAGGCATAGGGTATTATTTACAATAGTTGTAGGTAATTAACATATTAATCCAAAAATAAAATAATATACCGGGTGTTTCATTTAAAAAATCCAGAAAATGTCCTTCGAAATTCGCGAAACTGTGGCTTATGTGTAGACCACCCTGTACAAAATTATAAAGATTTTGCAACAACAACATGTTGTTTGCCCACATCTTTCGTCCGCATGCCTTACAAAATATTTTTTCTTAATTACTGCTAGTACCTGCACAGTGGTTAGATTTACAGACCCCTGTTCCAGCGAAAACTATCTTATTTTTTCAAATAACTTGGCATCGTCGCATCGATTACAAAAAACAAAGACATCGTTGGAAAGAGAATTTTCTGTAGAATATAAATTTGTAAAAAATACAGGGTGTTCCATTTAAGAAAAGCCGCCTTAAAGATGCTCCGCCCTAATGCATCACCCTGTATAATTCAAAATATTTTGAAAATATGAACTTTTTTAAGTACATCACTCCCTTAAAATATTTCTTTTCAAATCTTTATAATAAGGGAGACATTGAACTTTGTCACACTATTGGACCACCCTGTATATGATGTGTATATATCGCTGTAGTCAGATAAAAGAGAGGAATCGAAAACAAAAACAAAAATTTGGTTTATATCTAAATGCAAGTTATTGTTTTTTTTTATAACTTGCTTCCATTTTTTTTCTTTCTCTTTTTCCAAAAAATGAAAAAGGAAAAATATAAGGTTTTTCCCAATTCATCCTGTTTCTTTTTTTATTTAAATCTGTGTATTTTCCTTCAAGGAAATATAGCCCATTAACTTCCGAACACTCTGTATAATATTGGTTCCTTTCAGACCAATATTTCAGCAAACAGGAAAAAATAAATAAATTGAAATTAATTTTTTTGTTACCTATTGTTTATATCTGTGGAATAGCTATTTTGTTTTAAATGTCATAACATAACATGAAAGTTGGTGATTCTATTAACAATGAATGGAAAATATAGAAATATACATACTACTCCGAATAGTCTTCAAATAAAACATTTTGTATAATTTCTGACCGTAACACGAAATTAAAGCAATAAAGCGCTTCAAGCAAGCTTTCTTATTTGTTAATTTGTGAGTAGTATTCGCCAAGCAATTTAATAACATTCTGTATAAAAGTTTGACTTACATTATACGTTTTTTGTAAATGCCTCAATTCATTTCCTCTAGAAGTAAACAAATGCAAATGAAATGATAAAAACTAATATAATTGATATTTTTTAAATTTAGTAGCCTGAAGTAATTGATTAAATATCCTAAATTTATTATGCAATTAGCAGTAATTAAAATTAGCTTTTAAATAAAATTTATATTAGTGACGAATTGCTCTCAGATTTTATGTTATTAACGAGAAAATAAAAATAATCATGATGGACATTTAAATCGGGAAGTTCGTCATACTTGTGCACTAAAAATATTAGTTATGAGGTTAATTTAATTATAGAAACCAGAAAATATTAACAAACAACCTAATTTCCCATGAAATCATGAAGTTTTTTTAGCAAGAGGAACAATAGTGAATTGTCATAAAAATAAAGTGCTATTGTTTTAAAAACCTTTGATAAAAAAACAGCTTATAGGTATTTTACGTCATCATTAACTTAACAATCTGCTTTTGAAAAAGTTATTAAGATATTCGATTCCTCTAAGAATATTGTACAACTACTCATAATTATTAACACCTTTCCAGACTTCCTTCTTACCTAGTGGTAAAATTTAATTCCAATGTTATTTTCGTAGCGACGAATAAAACACTCGGCAAAAAAACACACCGTATACGCACAAAAAACTTGTCACAATATAATTAACAGAACATAAACACTGTCCAAAAAAATATATTGGAAGATATCTCCGGATAATCGTCGCACTTTTATAGTTTACATGTAATTTTACGGTTTTCTGTGGCTGATTAAAATCTCTTTCCTCGAGGACGTCGTGGATAAGCGCAAAATCACTTCATCCTGATGCCTCAGACCTGCCGTCTCGCTATATAGTCACGTCTACGCGGCGTTTCTCATCGCAAGCTTTTGAATGAGCTCTAATAGAGGTTGGATCTCGCGTGCGCGTTTGTTTCAGCCAGCCAGGACTCACAAAGGATGTAAATGCTACTACGCCGTCAAAGGTCCTGCGGTATTTAGCAAGTCAAAGAGGACGCGGGTATTTTGTATGCACTTCAATTTTGCGGTGGTGCATGCACATCGATCTAAATGTTAATCCTAGTTTGCGAGGGTTTCGAGGCTGAATATTTTTACTCATGTTTTGATAGAACTGCGGAAGCTAGCTTTCAATGTTATAACTTATAATATTAAATTCTGTAGTCTCTGAAACACAGTACGTTGTTTACAATGGCTTTAAATCTTTTGAATTTCTGGCTCATTCCGGTGTATCTCAGGGTTCCGTTCAGGGACCACTCTTATATAATAAGTTTATAAATAGCGTAACCGATGCATTAGATGTTCTTTGTTTGTTTTATGCTGATGATTCATTTGGAAGCGAGATGCTCAGATCAAGAAAAGAACCCGCAATAGTAGTGACAAAGACAGGACATACACAGGACCGTAATAGGACAAGCGCCTTGTGTGCAATTGTTCTATGTTTCGGCAAATGTTTTTGTTTTTTTAAATTTGGTCTCTTCGATATTAAAGCTTGAATCAATTTTACACACGGAAACTTGAATTTACAGCAGTGTCAGCTGGTGTGGAAGGCTCTAGGGCGTCGCCCCACCAAGAATTTTCATAGTAAAAAAATGTAAAATTAAAATTTAGTTTAAAGTGTTATCTGGACTTGCAAAATTTGTTTGAAAACTTCGTGGGCTTCACGTAGCGCGTTCATACATCTGTAAAGTGTTTACAGTGGTGGTCATGGTTACCTTCGCACAGCATATTTACTATGCGTTCGGGCACTGTTTTATCCGACCGTAACCAAATAGTAGCTATTCAAGGCTATTTTTCTTATTAAACGTAATTTGTTCAGGTGTGATGTAACATTTTGTTGTCTACGTATTGCTTCTTGTGTGTTTTTTAAAAGATTGTAAAGACAGAGTAACAGTAATCTATTGAAAAATCAATGGTGCGAGAAACACCAACCTCTAATGGAAAAGTAATTATTTCGGACAAAAGCAGAAGAATGGAGTTTCACTATAAACAATAATGTTGAACATATTTTCCCTGCTTTTCAATAGTACTTAAAATAAATCTGCCCAATTATATTTAATTTTTTTTTATAAATTTTTTAAAATATTTTATTTATTAAAAAAGGTCTATTAAAGTATTTTAAATGTTTTATCAATTTTTTATTAATTTGCGGTGCTGTTTTTGTCGTACGCATATTTTTTTGTAATAAATATCTAATTTGTTTCAAAATGAAAAAAAAAATAAAAATTGACTTGCATGTATGGGGAAACATAATCGTCATTTTGACATTTTTGGGGCATCGGACTACTCGTACGTCAAATGATTTTTGTCGGACAAATTGACCACAGTTTGTTTCACAAATTACTTATGCCGAAAATTTTCGAAGAGAAGTTTGGCACTTGCAAGTATCACTAAAACGCAAGAGCGATGCTCTGGGGACTATAAATTTTTCCGCCCTCCCTGGTATGGATGTCAAGAGCCGCCACTGGTTGAAAATATATCGAGTACCTAACGAGAGTGGGTAAATCGAACATTAAAAATAGACACCAAAATTCCAGATGCTTTGTATACACACTTTGTATATTCTTGTTAAGTCAACATTTTACATTATACAGTCCAGCAGTTACAGTAAGAATGTAAATGTTTCGGGTTCGGCATGTCAGGAATTCATTTGATTAAAATTAACTTATTTATACCGGTATTGAATTCGGGAAGCTGATAAAAGGACGTTGGCAATTAATTGATGTTGTTGATTGAAGATTTAAAAAAATATGAGAGCCACCACCACCCACTACAATTTATAATATCCATATGTATACATCTTGAATCATTAATTAAAGCGAATTGTTTACACAGCAGTAAAGACAAGATCTGACCTTACCGGATCGAAATAAAATGTGGAACAATCTTGACTATTTTGAGTATTTTTAGTTAGACATAAATTTTGTTTCTTTGGGACACATTACGACCTAGATTCTCTGTCAGATTCTGCTTTCATGGCCACTGCGGCATTAATCAATTCACGTTTTTTTTATTAGAAGGCTAGTAATATGCTGGAACCATTTTTCAAATGTCATCCTGGCCTGTGTTTTGCCAAATTGTCCACGCTCTCAGATAAATTTGATGTATGATGTTGTTTCAATTTTACTTATGATCGCATTTTTCACGAGGTAAGTTGCAGCTGCTTTGAAATGGAAAGTTTCGGGATTGTTGTTTTCTAAACCGTGGTTTGTAACATATTTTCCGAAAGAAAAAAAATATGTACATTAAAACGTTTACTTAATTAAAATAATTGCATGTTTTATAAAAAGAGTTTAATCTTCTAGAAATGGGACAAATATGGGGTGTTACAGGTGACGGAATTCTTGAAAGAAAGTATTTTCTTTATTTTTTGGATATTTTGCCACCTGTGGACAAATTTAAAAATGAGTGAAATAAATCCTTAAGCTGAAAGGATCAGTGAAGTTCAAAATAGTTTTGCCTAACCAAAAATCATACTGAATAAAGCAAACAAATACAAAAAACACAACACTTCATATCGCGCAAAAGTTGTTAACGTTTCGAAAATCTATCTGTTTTCATCTTCTGAACTTTTTTGTTTTCGTTTTAGTAATTTTTACAGTTTAAATTTGTTTGCTTTCGTCTGTTTCCATAGTCTATTTCAGGGTTCGAAAATATCATGATATTTATATAAATATCTTCATATGGATATATATCCGATATTTATCAAATTTTGATATTTATTTTGTAATGCTTGTCTGTTTTTTGCTAATTTCACTTCACATAACTTATTTTTTATGGGAATAACTACATTTTTTAAGAGACTCGTAAATTTTACATTTGTTATAAATATCTATGATATACAGGGTGGTCCCGAGGTAATGGGCCAAAATTCATGGGTAGATTCCCCAAGCAAAAATATTACGGTTTAGCCGAACGTACCTTAGTCCAAAAGTTGATAGTTAAAGAGATATAGGGTGTTAAATGTAAAATATTGTTTCAGTTTTTGTTATTTATTCCTTAACAAATGCAAATATCCTCACAAAATTTTGGGGATTGGAGTTCTTTGAGTAAAGGAATTGAAGTCTGTTTATGGAGAAACTATAAACACTCAGTAAGTCATTTCGCATTAAGGATTTATACTTTAAAATAAGACAATCTTTTTAATAAACGCATTGATAAATGTATTGAAGTTGAAGCTGGACATTTTGAGCAATTATTGTCAAAAAGGCATATTTTTTACTAATGTTTACTATTCTACTGTTCATTCCAATTTTTAATTCTAAATAAACCTTTGTTTTTGACATTTCTAAATTACTTATTTTAATTATTTCAACTATTAGCATTGGAAGTTTGAAAGCCAAATATCTCGGAAACGGTGCGAGATAGCTACTTTCATAAAGTCTAACCTTTTTTGTGTAAAAACAGTTGGAAATAAAAATTTTATACCAAAGATGAGATACCTTAAAGTACAAAAAGTTATGTGGTTCCCAACACATTCAATCTACGGCAGCTGGCGCCCTCTATGAACTATAACCAAAATGTGAACAAATTTCAATTCCTCTACCCAAAGAATCCCAAACCCCAAAATTTTGTGTAGATATTTGCATTTATTAAGAAATAAATGGAAATAAACTAAAATAATATTTTACATTTAACACCCTGTATCTCTTTAACTATCAACTTTTGAACTAAGGTAAGTTCAGCTAAATCGCAATATTTTTGCTTCGGAAATCTACCCATGAATTTTGGCCCATTACCTCGGGACCACCCTGTATATCGTGATATACATCGTGATATATATCCTTCGAACCCTGGTTTATTTAATATTACTTATTTCATCTCTTAGAATCTGTAGCCAGCAAGGAGGAACATAAAAAAGTTGAGGTAAGTTGAAAGGTGTTCAAGTTTGTGTTTTTTCTCCAAAGACATTACTATTCCTGGTTGCATTCAACTTAAAGAAGGCTATTAGTAAGTTGTTTAATCATTGTGTTATCTCTATTATTAGCACACAGACATATTTAAAAATTACGTTTCATGAAAACAATTTTTACATAACAAAAAACAGGAACATCCCATACAAGCTCTATTAGCTTAAGGTGAGGTAAATAAGCTGGCTATAAAATACGATTTCTACCAGTATCATAAAAAAAGTTATTCATGATTTCAGTGCTATGTGGCCGGACCTTATCATCCAAGTAAATAAAATTTGAATTCATGTTTTTCTGTTAAAGTATCAAAATCTGATCCATAAATTTTTGTTCATATGACAGACAAAACGATGATTTAAAAATAATTCGTTTACAAAATAGCTGTCTTTAAGCAGATGTACGGGAATAATATATAGAATGTCTTGATAATAAACGAAAAACCTTGTACACTTCATATAAAAATATGTGTATTTCTGAAGTTTATCTTATTTGATGCCTGTCATAACTTTGTCAATCGGAGTAGGAAATAATGGTGTCTACTGGATAATTTCTAAATGACATCCAGTACTTCCAAAGACTGGATCAGTTGCAGAGGTCGCTCTGGAACGTCTCAGAGGATCGCTATTACCTGAAGAACGGTTCTGTGGCCTTACAATTAGATCCAATAATAATAAGAAATGAACATCAGGGTGGATCTGGGAGTTCTAACCGTTAGTCCGCCCCCACAGAGCCTAGACCAAGAACAACAAGATTCCTAGCTAAGGCTAAAAAAGTGAAAGGCAATTCTGTGTCTGGCATCGATCAGATACAGGCGTAATAACCCGAAAAAATAATATAGAAAGTTAATTACTTCTGAAGTTGTCTCATATATTCTGTCTCTGTTTATAATTATGATGCAATATATTATTTTATAGCTTGGCGCACAGCAAAGAGGT